ACCACAATCTGCTGGCTGGGGAATTGGCTCTGTGATCAGACCCAGAGGGTGGTGGTTGACAGAAGTCAATTGTCATGGTGCCCTGTGACCAGGTCCCTCTAGACTCTATCCTATATTGTTCAACATCTTCATTAATGATGTGGACATTGGAGTCAGAAGTGGACTGGCCAAATTCGCCGATGAGACCAAAGTTTGGGGTAAAGCGTTGTAAGCGTTTCCCCTTAGGCCGAGTCCCTCCCGCCCAAAGTCCTCGGGGAAGGGACCGAGGCCTCCCCGCTCACAAAAAGGGCTCACCCAACCCGGACGTGCATATGCGCCGTCCTCTCCTGCCACAACTTGCTGTTATCCGATATGCTGTTCAGTTGGTGCGGCGCGTACCGTCCGAGGATGAGACTTCCGTCGTTGTCCGGCTTGGCTCCCGGATACCGTTGTCCTGAGGGCTCCTCCACCCCTACACCCTCGCCCAGGCCTCCTGTGTCTGGGGTGGGCCGCAGGCCCCCCCCCCACGATAAGATACGATAAAGTCCAAAACGTACGAAAAAGAAAACGAAATCCCGGCCCTGCTCCCTACGGGCCCTGTGCTGCACTTCGCGGCGCCTTGGCATCTTCACCCTTCTTAGGCCTCCCGCCTGGTGTGCGGACCCCTGCCCCGGGGTCCCGCCTACCCCAAAAGGTCCAGCCGCTTGTTCTGCTGGCCCTGGTCCGCTGGGGCGCTGTTGCTTCCGCAGCTCTCCTGGCCTCTGCAGTGTCTGCTTCTGCCGCCTCGGGTGCCGCTGTCCCCGGATCCACTGCTCCCAACCGCACTGCCTCCGGCCTGTCTCTGGCAGCTCCGCTGCATTCGGGCCTGGCTCTCTCAGCTCAGCCGCCTCCGCTGCCGTCAGACCCGTCTACTTCGGCTCCGCTGCCACCGCCACTGCCGGACCCGTCTCTCTCGGCTCCGCCGCTGCTGCCGCCACCGGACCCATCTACCTTGGTTCCGTCGCTGCCGCTGTCGGACCCGTCTCTCTCAGCCCCGCCACCGCCGCCGCCACTGGACCTGTCTACCTTGGCTCCGCCGCCACCGCTGTCGGACCCATCTCTCTTGGCCCCGCAGCTCCTGGACCTGTCACTCTTGGCTCTGCCAACGCTGCCACCGCCAGACCTGTCTACCTTGGCTCCGCCGTCGCCACCGCTGCTGTCGGACCCATCTCTCTCGGCCCCACCGCTGCCGCCGGACCCGTCTACCTTGGCTCCGCTGCCGCCGCTGTCGGACCCATCTCTCTCAGCCCCGCAACTCCTGGACCCGTCACTCTTGGCTCCGCCAACGCTGCCGCCGCTGGACCCGTCTACCTTGGCTCCGCCGCTGCCACCGCTGCTGTCGGACCCGTCTCTCTCAGCCCCGCCGCTGCTGCCACCGCTGGACCCGTCTACCTTGGCTCCGCCGCTGCCACCGCTGCTGTCGGACCCGTCTCTCTCAGCCCCGCCGCTGCTGCCACCACTGGACCCGTCTACCTTGGCTCCGCCGCCACTGCCACTGCTGGACCCATCTCTCTTGGCCCCGCAGCTCCTGGACCTGTCACTCTTGGCTCCGCCAACGCCGGCCTCGTCTGTCCGCACCGGCGCTCCTTTTGAATGGGCCCGGGTAGCCCCGGCGCCTCCCACTTCCGGGTTCCTGCAAGGTTCAAATTCCCACCGCTCGTCGTTGGCCTCTACGTGCAGGCGGCATCGGCTTGCGCCGGTCTGGGTTCCCTCCCAGCCCGGCGCCTGCTCTCCTCCCTTACAAGCATCAACACCTGAGGACAGGAGGGCTGACATTGACAGGCTCAGGAAATGTGCGGACGAGAACCTGATGGTGTTCAACACTGAAAAATGCAAGGTTCTCCACCTTGGGAGGAAAAACCTGCAGCATGCTTATAGGTTCAGCAGTGCTACACTGGCTAGCACTACAGATGAAAGGGACTTGAGGGTCATGATTGACCACAAGATGAACATGAGCCTTCAATGTGATGCTGCGGCTAGTAAAGCAAGCAAAATGCTGGCTAGCATCTATAGATGCTTCTCAAGCAAATCCCGGGACATCATTCTCCCGCTGTACTCAGCCTTGGTGAGGCCGCAGCTGGAGTACTGCATCCAGGTTTGGGATCACAATTCAAACAGGATGTGGAGAAGCTTGAAAGGGTCCAGAGAAGGGCCACATGCATGATCTAAAGTCAGGAAAACAGACCTTACAACGACAGCCTGAGAGCTATGGGACTCTTCACCCTGGAAAAGCACAGGCTCAGGGGTGACCTGATGGCCCCCTATAAGTTTATAAGGGGTGTCCACCAGGACCTGGGGGAACGTTTGTTCACCAAAGCGCCCCAAGAGACGACAAGGTGTAAGGGTTATAAACTCCTGCAAGACCATTTCAGGCTGGACATAAGGAAGAATTTCTTTACTGTTCAAGCCACCAAGGTCTGGAATAGCCTGCCATTGGAGGTGGTTCAAGCACCTACTTTGAGTGCCTTCAAGAGAAAATTGGATGTTTATCTTACTGGGATCCTATGACCCCAGCTGACTTCCTGCCCCTGGGGCAGGGGGCTGGACTCAATGTTCTTCTGAGGTCCTTTCCAGCCCTAAGGTCTATGAAATCTATAAACCCCAGGGCTGGATTAACCCTTTAGTGGGCCCTAGGCAAACAAACTCATGGGCCCCAAGCCAGTCAAGACCCCCCTTCCCTACTGCTGCCCACAGGGAGCGGGGCTCGAAGCCACTGCTAGAAAGCAACACTGCAGCAGCAAGGCTGGTGGAGCGGGGAAGGGAAGGGAGGTGGCCATTTGCACCACCATCACAGAGGGAGGGACCAGGGGTCCCACACAGCTCAGGCCCCTAGACACGCGCCTAGTTTACTTATGCGTTAATCTGCCTCTTCCTCCACCCCAGTCCATACCATACCAATTGTGGGGTAAAATTCCTTCCTGATCCTAAATGTGGTGATGGTTCTGGACCTGGGAGTAGGGGTAAGACCTTCTAGCCAGGAACCTTGGAGTGGGGGGTGTTAACTTCCAGCAGGAACATCGGTACACCCCAGTCAGAATCTGCAGCCTTGGGTGCAGTCAATAGCCAGTGTTTCTCAGGAAGGTGAGAAAAAACCCTGACATCCATAGCAACAGGAAGAGAAAATGTCCTTCTGGGCCTCATGTGGTAAGCAGCAAAGCCCAGAAGAATGAGATAACCACACACTCTACACTGTAAGCTGGGTACCACATAAGTTTCACAACTCCCTACATCATATCCCCTAACTGGAGAGCCACTGATTAAACTCACTGAATTTTCTCACTGATAAATTGAGTCTGGGAGACAAGCCCACCATACACATTTTGTCATTCAGTGGTCATTCTAAATACCCAATTAAAGCTGGCTGCCATTAGTGGACAGATATTTTGCAATGAGAAATGCAGATAGGGTTTATTTTTTCAGTTCTTTACACAAACAAGTTATTTATTAACCAACAAGCTTATTGTACAATGTCCAGAGCATTAACATTAACCAAGGAAGTAAAGTATCTCTATGGCTGCAAAACTGACAAATAACCTTTCAGCTTGATGTGTTCATCATATGTGCAGTACTTGCTAGTGGTTCATCCCATTAAATCAGAGCCAGACACGTAGCACTGCAAACTTTCCCATTTTCAACTGAACTATCATTTCCCCACCCCCTCACTCCCCTTCTGTTACTTTTCTGTAAACTTCCCAGAAATCAGGGGCTTTGTTAGGCCAGCAGGATCCTACTGCTGAATTAACAGAGCTGTTATGGAAAATTCTCCCCAAAGCTATCAGAAATGTTACCCAGAGTCCCTCAGACAGCTTGCAGCATTCTTAAAGAGGACACATCTCATCCTGCTTTCCACTAACTTTTTAGCAGACAGGTGGCAACCCAACTGGTGGCAAATTCCTAAGTATTTATATCCTTTAACTCTCAAATGAAGATGTAATTGGAAATGTTATGCATTGGGTGTATGACTAATGTTTCCATTAATCATCCAAAATACACTGGGATATTATGTGCATTTGTTTGCTTTGTACAGTAGCTATTTGCAGTTAGACAAGCTGCAATCATGAGCCTGCCTCATCACAGCCTCACCCCTCATAGAGATGTCAGACCAGAGATTCTACCCTATAAAGTTCACTTTCTGCTGCATATGCTTTGCTTGGAAAGAGTGGAGAATCCAGCTGCTACGCCAGAGCGAACATAAAAGGCTTCCAACTTACAATTCACCCCTCTGAAACTAGCCTTTGTCACCCACTTGGACTCAGCAAGTCTAAATCACTATGCAAGCTTTAAGGGAATGAAGAATGGAACGGATCTTCAGCACAGGTAGGCTGGCATAGAGTCAAGCCTACAAAAATAAAATACAACCCCCTATAAAAAAATCCATGTTTGTGTTTCTAAATTATTGTTAAATTATTAATGAATTAAACAACAACAACAACTTCATAGCTTATTAATTAGTCTGGTTCCTTGCTTACCTATAGTTCACTTAACTTCAGTAGCAATACAGAGACTGCTTGTGTTATTTTATAATTAGTTTCTCTCACTTCCTGCTTCTTTTATAGTAGGACAGTGCTATTGCCTTTTGTGTTCCAAATGCAAAGGAATCATTTAAAATATATCCACTGACAATTTTAAAGCAGACATTAAAGCATTTCTGTTTTATAACTTGGTTTGTAAAATGCTCTTTTTTCTCCTTTCAAACTCAGATCTGAAGTGTATCACCCTATTCCCACCTCCTTCCTTTGCTTAGCTTTAAACACAACAAATCTTACCAAAGTCTATGAGAATACTCATATATTTTAGACCAGCACACATGGTTTTGGAGGGTTAGGACCTATTACTTCTTGATAATAGCTTCTTAAAACATTCAGAACAGGCCAAGACTCTTTACAAAAGGCAACTATAAACAACATGAGGTCTAGGCCCATCTTGTGGCTCTGTGCCTGTGCAACACACTGAACAACAGAGTCCTGATCTAAAGCTACTCTGTCAGCACCACAGTAACACAAACAATAGTAAGGGCTAAATCCCATTTCAACTTCACACATCATAGCGGCACTTACGTAGCAGTGTAATGGCAGTTTTTTGGCACTTCCACACAGTGTAGATTCTATTTCCACCTGTAACAGAATGGAATTACCTTGTGACCTTACCTGCCAGATGTCAAATAGAAAAGGAGGGGCAAAAGGACCTTCCCACCTGTTAGCTCAATAGATTAGTGGCTAGGAGACTAGTCAACAGAGGCATAACAAGCAGTTTCTGTGTCCAGGATAGGTCAGTGAGCCAGAGGCAGCCATAACAGCCACCATTTTTTACGTGTCCCCCACCCCATCAAAAATGGTGTCGGGGTGGTTGACTCAGTCACTTACTCCTAATTATGCTACTGTTTTTCAAGGGTGCGAGAGAGACAGGTTCAAGGCCCCCCTCAGCCAGAGGAGGTTTGGCCTTGCATCTCCAACTCCCCAGGCCATGAGTTAGTCCTTTCCCAGAGTACTTTTCAGCTCTCCTCTGGAGGTTTGCCTGCTGGGTAGCCAAAAGGGACTATGTAGAGGAGAAGAAGCGGCTAGAGAGAGGGTGGCCACTTGACTATTGTGCTAGCAGCAGGGAGGGCTGACATCCTCCCCTGTCAAACCTACAATCACAAGTCTTGGGTGTTTTTGTGACTGAAGTTTAGAGCTTCCATGGAGGCATGCATGTACCTGGGAAATACCATTTCCCCCCAGGCATGACCAGTGCAGCCAAATGAGCACGCTCAGTAGAGAAGTGCAGAGCAAGTCTAGCTCCATGGATTCTAGACCCTGTAAATTCCCAAAAAATGCTTCTATGTGGCTATGCAAGTGCCCCTTATATGCTTGAAGGTGAAATAAGATTTAGTCTTTCTTTGTAGTCACATTTAACTTTAAAAAAACACATCAATCCACTGATTACTCATTGTAGGATACTAAAGAAAAGAAGACATTTAGATGAAGCCCCCCTCCATCAGGAGGCAGTGAAAATGGGCCTTAAATTGAATGTATATGTATATATATTAGACAAATTTTAGAACCATTTTATACGCAAGAGCTGTGTAAGGTAGCCTCACTGTAAATGAGAGTTAAGCTCAGACACTCTTGAGATATGCTTCCAGCCATATCTGTTACTCGTTCTTGATTTAAGAATTCTGTGCTCTGATTCCCTGATGTTGAGTACAGAGGGGGCGACCTTACCAGCCCCTTCCATTGCTACAGAGGGGGAAAAGGATATAACCTAACCTGGAACTACACCCCCTAAAATGCCTTATTTGTTATCATGTGGTTATTCCATGATCTATCTCCAGTACAAAATTGATGTCAAGTATACATTCCTTAAACATGCTTGAATTTCTTTTGAGTGTAAACTTCATCCTTCTGCATTTATGACGCTCGGTTTGGGTATAACTGCACCATCCCTGCAATGTCTTTGTACTTTAAAGGTACGGATGCATACTCTCAACCTTAATTCATCTCAACACAGACACCTACCTTTCTGTTATACAACCTGCCTGACAAGATTGAGTGTGTGCATATTACTTTTGGGTGGGGAAAAAGTTGAGGCAGAGCAAAACTAACTGACTTGTCAAACAGTACACAGTGACAATGTCAGAATTGGAAACGGGTACAGAAAGTTTGACTGTCAGTCCTCTGCTGGAACGATGAGAAAAAAATCATTTCAGATAACAGATGTAGTTACAAAAATGTCTTGAAAATTGAATTAGTTGACTTAATAGTAAATAAATGATCCAATATATCCAAACTTGAACATGA